GATTCCTTCCACACGCATCTTGGGGTCAGTTGATAATATAATCTATGCCATAAAGGTTTCTTATAGCAAGTATTACTACTGCATTTGCAGTCCTTGTTTTTATTTCTTTGCATACCACTTTATATTTGATATCATACATTTCTGTTCTAATCTCTCATTAATTTATTAATTACTTTTTCAAAAGTTGTAAGTCACACATTTTTAATCATAGTTAAACATAAACTGAAAGTCTCGATGGCGCCACCAAGTCTTAAAATCAGACTGGAGTTCAACTACTACATTGGTGGATAATATACCTAATGGGTAAACTCGGCACGGGCTTCCAGGAACATCCTACAAAACTTATACATAGCAGAATTGGATTCAGAAACCTTTTCAGTAATGTGTTTAGAAAACGTCCTGTCACAAACAAAAATATGCTGAATGTGTGAATATACCACCATTTCACGCAGTTGTAAATGGCAGAAATCGAATCTGCGCCCCCGAAAAACAAATATGACAAAAAAACGCGACTACGTAATCAAAATCAGCACATAGTCCCATTTTCCCGCCCGACATGAAAGCCATATTGGAAATATGCTAAATATGTGATAATTTTACACAGTTGTAAACGGCAAAAATGGAATCTGACCACCTAAAAATATATCCTGGTACCATAGACGACTACTTAATCAATATCCGCACATCGTTCCATTTCCCGCCAAAAATGGCCGTCATATTGTAAATGTGTAAAATAATCATTTTACACATTTGTTACTGACCGAAATGGATTTTGTACCCTTGAAAACATATATATTGACACCATCGACGACTACTTAATCAATATCAGCACATGGGTTTTTTTCCGCCAAAAATGACCGCCATCTTGGAAATATGCTAAGTATATGAACATGTGATAATTTTACAAGGTTGTAAATGTCAGGAATGGAATCTGTGACCCCGAAAACATATATATATTGACACCAAACACAACTACTTAATCGAAATCAGCACATCGTCCGATTTTCCCGCCAAAAATGGTCGCCATCTTGAAAATATCATCATGAAATGATGGAAAACAATCATGAACCCTGCCAATATTAATACATTGCCAAATCACAGTTGATATGTCGATAACATTATAAACAAGGCATTGACCTAATCAACACATACACCAAGTTTGAACATTCTAGCCCAATTAGGAAGAGAGTTATCGTGTCCCAAAGCATCAACCAATCAAATTGCTTATCTCTGCTTACCCTAAGCGGAAAATGCTCATCTTCGAACTCCATCAAGGCATTGACCTAATAAACACATACACCAAGTTTGAACATTCTAGCTCAATTAGGAAGAGAGTTATTGTGTCCCAAAAAGTGTGACGGACAGACAGACGGACAGACAGAAGGACAGACAGACAGACAGACAGACGGACGAACCCATTTTAATAGTCCCCTGCTTTCTTCGAAAGGCGGGGGACAATAAGGTGAAAATAAAAAAATAAGTTGGAATATTATTGCAAAATAGCTACCCTCAAATAATGGCCTCCCATACTATAAAGACCTACTCAGAAAAAATGTCAACTTTGGTTTTTTGTAATCAAACATCAAAATCTACAATATAAAGCTTATTCCATGATTTCTACCCGAAAAGCCGACGGATAGGAATTATGTAACAAACCGAATCGTACTATTAATGGTCTCGAGCTTAATACATTGCGTAAGATATTGTACAAACACTCAGGCCTACGGCCCTCTTGTTGTTACAGTATATTACTTAATGTCGCGCTCTCGACCATTAAACTATACATATAACATTTTGATGCCAAAATAAGCGATATTCCATTTGGTTCTATTCGAAAGTATCCCATAGAAATTAATTCAAAATTGTCTGCTTTTTTCGATCCTAAAGCGGAGAGCATACGGATTTAAACAGGTATTATTCACTATTATACGAGGGCTAGCTGTAACTTCCTAAACCTATCTGTGAAATACCTGTACAAGGTCGATGGTTTCCATTTATTTTTCTTCTTAGTCCCCTTCGAGGTGTACACGCTCTTACCAACGATATTGCCAGGCCTGGATGCGGGTCAGGAAAGAATTGTCTTCAGCCACCCTATAAAAGTCGTTGACAACTAGGAAAAGAACTCGACTAGCTGGTTCGTGTTTTGTATGTTGGAAACAAGTTTTATCCATGCTTACAAATCTGGCAAACATTTATCAGGATCTGCTTCAAAACGGCGCAAATTGTCATGGAGCGTGAGAAATCTGACAAGTTTCTGATTTACGGTCAAGAACTTTGGTACCCATCTTGCAGAAACTGTTGTCGTTCCTAACTCGTTGGCGATAATGTGCTCAACCCTCTCACGAGAGATGCCCACAACACTGGGCGATATGTCGAGTGGCCAATCGTCGATCAGCCATTACAATAAAATAAAACTAAGTACGAACAATCAAAACCATTAGACAAAATTCGAAGTCCTAAAAAAACGGTATAGACAAAATAGTATAATAAGGCAAAATAGTGTAATCAGCATATGGACTGTTCACCGTGTACAAAATACACGACAAACAGTGGTAACAGGTATCTGGAAGAGTAAGCTTACCCTGCCTGGCGCCACACCCGTCATAGCTGCATCCAAACTATTAGGCGAAATCTCGGTAAAATAGCGTGATTGGCCAATGGACTATCGGTATGCAAAATGCACGTGATGAACAATGTTAACGATGTAGTAGACAGACATTATCAATGTCATGCACCCGGGTAATGTTTTCTTGAATGGTTGTTGTTGGTGGCCTTCTAGGCTCTCTCTACCACGCTTAAATTCCACAACCCACTTCTTTACCGTGCATGTATCTGTGTTGCAGGTACTTGATGACTGTCCTGTAGCTAGTTTTGTCCATTTCTGGTGATTTTAATGGGTACGTTCACAAAATGGTCAGGTAGGAAGATAATAACAACACTACACTTGCTGTTCTTGTGTCTATGATTCAATCAATGATTGTACTTGTTGGTGACAAAAGTTTATTTCAACCCAAATGATCTATCTTTTTTGGGGCTTAGAACCTTTCTGGTAGCCCTCGTATAAACGAGGACCTATACTGAAATTCCAATCTGATGAAACAAAATATCAAGCACAATATTGGTCCAGTTGAACAGCCTGCTCTCCTTCAGTTTCCAACTGTCATAAGTAAACCTCTTTTTTTGTCTAATCCAATCACGAACGGGGTTCGTTCTCAGGCATTCTGGTCAAGGACCCAGTACTCTACCCCCATCGCCTGCCACGGTAGTCGAGATCCATACATCACAATACTGGAGTTTTCAAAGGATTAAATGTTCCTCAAATGACAATCTGAGACTTTTAATACATACACATTAGTAGTCGTGTGGATATAATAACACCCTTTTCAGTTGACCGTGGTTCCGTTAAGGGGAGATAACACTGATTATCCTGAAACCCTTTGATCTTTAGAATCACACGGAAGTATTGTCAGTTTAAGTTAAGTGGAAAAGTTAATCAGTTTAGACTTTGCGAGACGGATGAACATATCTACAAATATATGTAATTATTGCTATTCAGCATCGTGATCTTTAGACGATTAAATCCAAAGCGAGTTTCTGTCTCAGAAAAGAATGATTATAATACGGTACACCTGCAGATTATCCTAACGTTTCCGTGCAAAAATTAAATGTATTATAGTGATAGCGGTTATATTCTTGGATGGGTTAAGTCTAAGATTATATAGGTTTTGCCTATTTTCCAATCCTGGAATTATATAAAATAAAGCTAGGAACTCGACATTGAAAATTAAGACGTGGTTATCTTCACTAAAATAGAATGGACTGGGGTTAAACGTCCCGTGGAATGGTTTTAACGTCTCGTCAATACAATGGGGTTTAATGTATCACCAACGCAATGGAATGGGATTTAACGTCTCGTCAACACAATGGAATGGAATGTGGTTTTATGTATCACCAACACAATGGAATGGGATTTAACGTCTCGTCAACACAATGAAATGGCATGGGATTTAACGTATCGCCAACACAATAAAATGGAATGCGATTTAACATATCCTCAACGTAATGGAAGGAAATGGGATTTAGCACCTGGTAAACACAATGATTTTGTCATTTTGAATCAATTTACTCAGCACATCTGTAATGTGAGAGGGGTAGTGGTATTTTGCCATTTCAGCGTCGTGTAGACCAATGTGTAAACATCGTTTACATGTACGCCAATGTGTACACATGTTGGTTGTCGTCCCATTAGAACGTCTGGGCACCTTTTTCTGTTCAGCAAACCAGACACCAGCCCTGACAAGCGAAAACTGAGCTTGAACAATCCGAACGTCTAGGCACCTTTTTCTGTTCAACAAACCAGACACCAGCCCTGACAAGCGAAAACCGAGCTTTAACAATCCCGAACAGTGTTTTAGGCCCATGCCATTCTCTAGTCCACCTGTCGGTGCCTTGACTCAATCACCGCAAGCCTTTACAAGAAAAACATTTACGTACGCCAACGGAGATAGTTAAAACTTCCAAAAGCGTATTCTGTCACCACCGGCTACTGAAGTTCTAAGAGCATTTATATATGAGCATATATGTGTGTGTAGAGGTAATTCTGCCGGCACTTTCTTGAACATTTGGATCAACTTCGTAGATAGATTTATAGGAAATGGATTTAAATAACGATAATTACCACACTGGTCATATGTTTCCGGCGACTGTTAAAGAGTCAAGATATTTTCGAATAGATGTAGACAACATTACAGGCAATAATAATTCGGTAACATAAAAGATAAAAAAAAATCTTTCATATATAATATATTTTATTAAATATAATTTATCTTAAAGCGATGTGACATATGTACAAGTTATTGCAATAATAAATTATTAATGAACAAACTGAGACTTGGTCATGTTTTCAGAACATTCCAATAAATGCATATTAGTGTTTATCTCCAGGAACCATGGAATTATTAGGTTGTTTCATTAATAATAAAACAAAGTTCGTTAATGACTTATTAATGAACAAAACGAAACTTGGTCATGGTTCCAGAATATTCCAAAAATGCATATTAGTGCTTATCTCCAGCCAGGAACCATAGAACTATTAGGTTGTTTGTTTTATCTACAAATAATTTGAATGTCAGCACTCTGTAATAATATTAATGTTGGTATAATGGAACCTTTAAGAATGATAAATTAAGCATAATTCATATTAGTGCTAATCTCCAGAACCTAACTAGATGACAAAATATAATTATCAGTTCATTAATGATACTTGTTTGTTTTCTATAATTATTGGAATGCCAGCACTCTATAATAACATTAATATATTTGTATGTTGACAGAATGAAATCTTCAAGGACGATAAATGCAATGAAATGGGTTTTATTTAACTTCTGTTTTTGAAATAGGGCATATTTTGAATGTCAGGGCTTCCGTGTACGTGTACGTCAATGTGTACATGGGACCTCGGTTGTTTGTCCCATGCGAAGACTAGACACTGTTCCTTTCCACGCCGCCCCCCCCCCCGTCCTACACCATTAGCAAGGAAACACCAACACCAGGAGTGAAACCTAGAATTCCTGGTTAGCGAGCCAGCGTCTTACGCACTGATACCTCGCGGTTCTCTTTAAGGGCGATAAATTAAATATAATTGTACATAAGTAACTACATAAGTATTTTTCAGTATATCTTTTTTATAAAAAATTAAATATGAAACGAATATATACACAATATTTACAAAACTTGATAATATACAATGATTGTATTTACATTTTGGCATTTTTTCAATAAAAACAGTATATATTTGGAACATGATATATTATGTATTATATACAATCGAGGGGAAAAAAGTTAACTAAATTTGCGCAACATGACCCAGAGTCAATGACTTGTGAAATTCTACTGGGGAACATGATTAACCCCTTGAGGTAAATGATTATAAACATAACTTGTAGAGCAAAAGGCGGTAGCTTAATTAATGTGTTAATTAAATTAAGCTCTTTATGAATGAGGACCACATATTTTCTTTCATTTGACCCACGTGACATCATATCAGCCCCCCAATGACGTATGCACATCTAATCTTAAACACACCATGTCTATTCTGATGCCGCTTTTGGCATTTGCCATCAGCAGGAATGTAGAGTTCACAGTATCAACATCATTATAATCCATCACGTGCACGGTGCCAGGAATAGATATAGCAGAGTTGTTGGTGGCTCGCACCACATCCACCCAGTATGATGGCGTCATTCACAAAGGTGTATAGGCTGATGAAACAGCTGAAATAAATAGAATTCCATAGTAAAGTTAAATATAGAAACTAGAGTGCTAATTTGTAAGATATTTGGGATACGCAATAGACGCATAGCGTTTATTTTAACCTTAGCCGAGATCAACCGCTCTGTTAGTTAACCAAGTGGTGATGAGGGACCAATAACTTCTACATAATATTTATACGCTTTGCTGAAACCTTTTAAGAAATCGAGATCAGAATAATCCCCCTGCGTGGATGCAATCGGATTAAACAGAGGCCAACCAAACTATATTACACTAAATAGTGATGTTGACTTATTGTATTGTCTTCAGAGGATTTCCCTAAGTTGTGAAATTTTCAATTGAACGTATTTATCTTTGTATGTACTGAACAGAATTGAAATATTTTTGGACTGATATTCCTATTAGAGATTCAACTTTCACCATAATTGTAGTTGGTAAGGAACTCAAAATTATTCTGTTTGAACCATTAAAGAGAGAAATGGTGATTAACGTCCACTCGACACCAACTGGGTCTTTTCGGGAATAAACTATGGTTCCATTTTATTTCAATAATTCGCATGCGCGTTGGGGATTTGTAGCAGTGGGAGGACACAAAGAAAAGGTTAGACAGGCGACCCTACTCCTTGTCACGTACAAGCAGGAAATCGAAACTTCGCCACCCGACTTAATGCCAGACCTTATGGTCTAATACCCACGCACTAAAGTCCCCGTAACAAGATGTAAATAAAGAACTAACCTGTATAGGTATGTGACAATCATCCAAGATTTAATCCAGGTAAAAAGCTGATTGGAGATGGTTTGTATGGCGTCTGTAGAATCTAGTTATGTGGTATGTGTATAATTTTTCTAAGCAAGCTGATTGATGTTTGATGAAATGCATAGTGATAACTGGTGTTGAGCAATTGGCATGGTTCTTGGAATTAGGAAGCAAATAGATTGTCACAAGACATTGTCTTTCGACCATGACGTTTGAACAATCTGCTGAGAAATGTTAGGGCTTTTCTTGATGAAGATGCTTTCTTTTTGTTACCACTGTGCGACGGACTCTGGGCTGAATTGTTTGGAAGACTTAATTTCATACGGATTTGACTTAGACATCCCACTAATAGCTCGTCCACGTGGTGGTTGAGGGCGGCAGATATCTCTAGGTATTTACAGTCGTACTTCATGGCGACTATGCGGGCTTCTGTAACAAGAACAATACATATTTAATATTAATTAAAATATACTAAATTTACCAAATAATGAATAATTTGGATAATGACTTTAGCATTACTTATACCTCTGGGCTGGTAAACTATTGGTGCTCCTGGAATCCGAGGTTAAGTACTCCTGTCGCATCACTGGGCTATAGAGGGGTTGGGTTTGTGCGTTATCCGCGATGCTTGGTGTGCTCTCTCTTTCTTGCAGCTCTAGCTCAGTTCGGGACAAATGGATTTGTATTGCGAGCTTGTAGTTAGCAATACGAGAAACTTTATCATTATTGAGAGGCTTAATGCTGTGTCGGTATACCATTTTGTAGACATTAGACAGGATTATTAAAGGGCCAAGTGCATAGAAAGTGTGTCGACAATACCCATTACTTCTTTGGCAAGTTATGATAGATTCAGAACAGACTACAAATTCTCATAAAAAATACTTTAATTTGACAGCTTGCGGCTAGAGTGCAATGGGGTCGAAATATTTGTTCAATCTATATGCTAAAATATACAACTCTTACCATTGGCTGTCACCTTCCGTTGTCTGACAAGATCTGTTTTATTGGCCACCAACATAATAACTCGATCTGTTCCTATGGTAACACGAAGATGGCGGATAAGATTAGTCGCAGCTACAAAGGAAGGGTGGTCGATGATGGAAAACAAAATAATAAATGCATCTGCTCTTATCTCTAAATACTCGGCAAACTGAAAATTAATTAAAAAAATATAATGATAACGGGATAAATAATTCATCAAAACAAGATAGTAGCCATGACATAAGACCAGAAATAAGAAGGTATTTTATCGCACCTAGCTTAATTAATGTCGTTGATTACGCCAGATAGACCATGTCTTAAAAGTCTTATATTACTTCATTAGAAGTCCTGGTGTTAAACCTCGCCAAACAAACTAATTATGTCGCAAATGGTAATAAACCTATACCAATCGGAACATCTTGACGTCATTAATCATACTTTATTGCTAAATTTGCATATTTATCTAGACATTCTGACAATTCAAACGCCGTCATATAAAACATTTCCAAATAATATCCCTTGTTTACTACTCCATAACATCGTTAAATGTAAACAAACACTATTTTAGTAGCTAAATAATTGACGAAAGGGGGTTATCATATGTTTATTTGAGATGATGTTGAAGATTTGCAGATACAGTAAGCTGTAAATGACCGTGATATTTTATGGTTAGGATCATAAGTAATGACACGAGTGGTTGTTGTTGTTCGTATATAGGGTTTCACACCCGCTTTCACCGATAATTTATTCAGAGCATGTTTTGATTGATTGATATAAAAATTAACCCTTTTTTCCCTTCAAATATTGTATTATTATTGTACTGTTTTCTCTATGAATATTTCTATGGTATATATTTTATAATAATATATAGGTATCTATTATCTTATAATATATTCTGAACTACTTTGCTTAAGTATTCAACACATCAGTAATTATTAATTTTCTTTCAGCCTAAACAAGGAACAAGATTATTAAATAAGTTATCACGTAGGAAATAGATTAACGGGATCGTACATTTGACAGGGTCTATTTGCTTAATGGTACAACGGTGTACCTTGGTCATTTTACATAAATGGTATCATTATGTTGGGTGAATAACAACATATAATTCTTCTAAAAAGACATCCGGGCTTGTAAGCGAGTTGTTCGGATCTTACAGGTCATTCGTCACAAAATTGACGATACGGTATATAAGCTCTTAAAACAATTCTCAATATTGTCTTAGATTTTGATCTACAATTTGATAGATATCCGTACCGGACAAGATACGGCTCTAAAGTCTTGATTAGAGACTTTTGGCAAGCGGAATTTTCCCATCCGTATCACGTATCCGTATCGTATACGTGATACGTTGCGTCAATGTAGTTTTAGAGTTTGGGCAGATTTTCGTGTCGCGTACGTTCGTCGATCAGCTGAGCTTAGTTCTATTACAGCATGATGGCAGATATCGACTTCGACTCGACAGCAATTGTTGGTTTCACTGATGTATTTCAGAAAGTTTATACCTCTTTACCAGATTTGCAAGGTTCCGCCTCACTAAATCACATCAAATATACACCTTCGTGTTCTAGAATACACAAAGATTCATAAAAACGCTACGATACAACATTTCAGCGTGTAAAAGTAGCAAAAAAGACGGTAAAAGGACACGACAATGTTATACGGACCTTTTCCGTATGAAAGCTGTTCGATACGTGCTGCCGTATCCGTGTGCCGTATCACGTATAAGAAATACACGCACATTGATGACGTCACACGCAAAATCGATACGCGATACGGACCAGAAATTTACGCTTGCCAAAAGTCTCTAATGACACGTTTCTACTTCGTAGGCAGGTTAGTTTATTTACGTAATCTAACTAGTGCGATACTTCTTAGTTAAGAATTTATCGGACGTGAATTTTACTGCTGTAAACGTACATAGTGTTAAGTACAAATTTATTATAGAACTCTGCCAGAAGTGTGAACCGTGCCAAAACCTTGTATAACTGTATGTTTCTGAAGGAATTATAAACTTATTGAAACCAACTTGGACTTTGTGAAATTATTCCGTGGAGCCAGAAACAAATAAATGAAAGAAATAAACAAGATAGTCCTAACCACTAGACAAACGCATTTAGCCAGAATAACCAGTGATTTTAGACCGTTTTCACAACGGGCGGTCTAGAGAGTCTGAGAGACATCCATATCTAGTCCCTCGCTAGAGACTTTAGTCGAGTAAAGTAACCGGCAAGGTTACACGTCTTTCACATCAGGGATCGACACCTTGACCGCAAGCCAGAGTTGACAGCCCAGCTAGAGCTCGACGAGCGACACTCTTGTAGTAGTAGTAGTACCTAAGTGCTTGCACAAAAGTGATATTGCAGACAAGACCAAAGAGAGTTGAAGCTTTCTCCTGTATATTAGAATATTTCCATCTATCGCACCTGGCCATGGAATATTTTAGAGTTTTTATCCCTGCATTTTAAACACAGACGCAATCACTTCTAAGTCAATAACTAATTGATGTATGTAGTCTAAACAGTTATATATACTGTAAGTGTACAGAATAACAATGGATCTTATAACATAAATATAAAGATTATCACTTGAAATGGCAGTAGACAGATAACACATGTTAGTCCGCATTCCTGTTACCATGACTTTCTGCAATCTACCTGCAATATCATTCTATTATTGCCCAATATAAACAGTATGGCGGGAATGTTTGGCATCATATTCTTAGACTTTGCGTTACTGGGTCTATATGTGCATGTGTTTGGTTATATCACATTATAAGCTGATGAAATAGTCAGGATTCTAGAATACATTATTATGTTTGTATACTGCATTTTAGATAAGTATTATTCATCAAATGCCATGATGGAGTTTCCTGACTACAAAATGTTAGAAAATGGGTCAAGTTTAATTATAAATGGCATGGTATATGACGTAAAAAAGATTTCAGGAAATCGGTCAGATGTCGTGATCTGAAATTGTGTAATTCAACAAATCCTTAAGGACCCTCAATCTGTCATCTAGAACCATGTGTATTAAATATTAAATATTCTGGATGCCGTCAATATTTTCATTCGCAATCATGAGCTTCATCCCACCAGAGTATTTCAGATAATCTTGGCAATTGTTTTGTGTGGTACAATTGCCACAAATAATGTCGATACCTAAACGTTAATCACGGCTCTCATTCCTGGACACGATCTTACGTCTAAATGATAAATGTTAGCGGTTTCCAACTTGAAACTCGATAAGATTGCGTTTAAAGACGCTGTTCGTGTTTACTTGGTGTTTGCGTTATTACGAAATGTTATGATCCTCAGCTGCATTCCCTCGTGTCTGTTATATATGAAGATGACTGATCTCACGCTTACATACATCCCACAGCAAATACGAACAATGAAAATCTCAAATATATTAGAATCCGATTCAAATTTTATTTCGTTTTACTTGTCTGCGATATAACCCTCGGCGGCAATAGAGGTCAACCCTTACCATTTATATTTCTAATGTACTTCAGTGACGTAATGTTTAGCCGAATAACATAAACGAAATTGTAATTAATGACTGACCATAAATTTGGTGTCAATTTCGTTCCGTTTTATTTCTGATGCTGTACCTTATGGAGAACACTAGATCGGAGACTGTACTGCACATGTGACGTCATAATATTATGTGGATTGATTGTTAGGGTTAGGATAAAGGTTAGGCTTGGTCCAGGGTTATGAATTAAAGTTGAATATCTCTCTCTCTAAACTTACCTTTGGGTCGTCAATAAATTCCATCATGGATTCTTCACCATCTAGTAATACTGATACGGATGTTTCATGTTCTTCTGATTCGGCTGAAGAAAAACACAATAAAGAACAATTTAATAAACGATAGCAATTTCATATAATTTTGATTTATTTGTTAAAAGTTGAATCCTTCCCGAGACTAGGTATTATGAAACTTGATATTATGAAGTCCATCAATTTCAAATATCATGATCAGTCATAAATTAGATGTCAGACAGAACCCTTGAACACTTCTAGCTTCAGTTTAGATTGGTAAATGATACATGGTCAAAAAAGTCATTAGATGTTTCACTAAATGATATAATTAAATGATATACATGTACATTGTAATATATTTGGAATGTTACATTTAGTATTGTAATTTGTCTTGTAAGGTAGTTTTCATCACTTCGCAAAAATAAGTGTGAAAATAAGATAGATTAATTGGAAAATGGGAATTATCATCAAAATGTTTTGGAAAATATGACATGGTGAATAAACTGTGTGTTTGTGTGCGTGACATTAAAATAGCATAAATACTAAGAAGACGTATACTGAAATCCTGAGTTAATTAATTATGGTTTTTATTGTATATTTTATTGTATATTACACGTATAATATACAAATTTTGTGTCTAGTTTGATAATAAAATAAGTATTATCAAATAAATACATAAATCAATTTCAAATAAAGAAGAATCAGAAGCCAAATCGATAAAATAATCAAGTGCTTAGCTGTGTTGATTAGCAATAAGTCAGTTCCGAGTTTTTAATCAAGAACCGCCTATGATCATGTTTGTGCCAACGCGCAGCTGTAGGTTATCTGTCAAATTAGCTAAAATAACTTTGATTGAAAGCAAAATCTTCAAAAATGTTAAAAAAAAAATCGACATTGATTTAACTATACTTATATCATCGGTATTGAGTTTCGCCTACTTAAAGCTAGAAATCTTTGTGAATCCTACCAAGAGCAGCAATATAGATTAACTCGAACACATATTTCACTTAAAGCTATAAAGCTGGGAGAATACAGTAAATACCCCACAGATGTATTAAATGTGAACACAAACACCTTAAAAAAAATAACTAAAATTGATAATACTCCCTTGAAGACAGATTACTGGGGTTTAACGTGAACTAGATACAAACTTGGTCATTTCACGAATAACATATGGTTTTTCTATAATTCTCTTGGGCGTAAGGATCTTTAAAGGTCGCGGAAGTCTTTAGAGTGTTGAAACGTTGCACGAGACAAAATCAGTAAATCCATAAATTCTGTTATTCCAAACGTTATAATGTGACTCCTAAATGTCATTCGAGGATAATAATAACGCCTGTTAATTAAACAACCTGAGTTCAAGACAAAGGTAATTAAGTCATAACATGGGATGAGATTGGCCAATGTAAATTACATGTGTAGGATAATAAATGGGGTGATTCATGAATTACATACAATTTTATCCGCCGATCAATAATCGGCAAATTAACATCCAAGGTTTAATTATAATTGTTTCATAAAATGCCATTGGTAACCATCTTGTTCAAATATCAGTAAAAATGTTAGATTTCGATAACCTGTCGTAGAAATAATTAAGCTCTTTATTTTAAAAAGACATATAATGCTAGGAGAAGATGTATTTTTAGCCAGAAATTATTGAGTTTATCACTCAAATAATTCATTTTAGTATTTCCTTTAACCTGTAGCCATGCGAACTTTTATTACTTTTAAATGGTATCAGGCCAGCTGTAAAGCGGAACTTGGACAATCTGCAATCAGATCTAGTAGAATCATCCGAGATAGAATCACTTCCACATACTCTGACATTCTTTATCGTTATTATTATATAATATGCCATTTATTGTAGACAAATGTTATGTTTTAATCTATAGCTTTTATTGATAACATATAGTTTAGCATACTTTCTTTCTAGATAATGGGTATGGCTGTGAGTTTAGTGGGTGAAGGTAAAGGAAGAGTGGGGATAACGACGTACGAATTTTAACTGTAAATTAACCTGTGTACATTAGAATATATGTATATTGTAACTTGATGGCTTTAAAAGGAATTGATTATATTGAGTTTAATGTCTTCAGTAACTTTGGTATTTTTTTTATTTCTATAGCTACGTGTGGGATAATTTTGCCTCTGGGGCGAAGTTTTCAACTGTCAATTGTTCATTTACGCGCACCGCTGTTTCCGTTTCATGAAATGAAATGGGGTTTAACGTCCTACTGTTCTGCACCGTGTTCTGCACCGACTGGTCTATTAAAGACAGCACCACCTTTCATACTAACGACTAAACGTCACACCTGACTTATGCAAAGAAATATGGTAGAGATAAAAATAGAAAGTAGCTCTCATTTGTCTGATTAATAAATCAACATTACTGGTATGTATATATACCGCTATGACTAATCAACTCTTGCATTCTATTGATTTTTGTCTCGGCTGGATAACAATAACATGCGAAACTATGTGAAAGTAATATACGATTCGCAATTACTTAAGAAATGTGCGCATCATAAAATAAGAATGTATTATGATTACCTGAAAAGGGGAAGTAATATCAGAAAAAAAATTGCATGAAATTTTATTAAAAAGGGGATTATTTTGCAACTGCCATTTAATATCTTGATAGAAAGATATTAATTTGGTTTCATCAATAGCCCACATTTTTTTTAAAAGTAATTTTCTGTTGTTGCTCCTAAACTGTTGAACAGAATACCATCATATATAAAGGATGCAAAATCACTATGTATATTCAAATCCTTGCTAAAAACACACCTATTCAGTGAAGATGATGGGAATCTGGCGCAAATGTGACAGACTAACTTAGCACCAGTGAACAATTTTTTGGATACGAGGCGCTATACAAATCCATTATTATTTTTATTATTAATGATAACGCCTGATATTAATTTGATGTTGGGTGGGGGGTTGTATCATAAAGTCTGTCATTGAGTCAAGTGGCATGGTTTTGATTCCCCGCTTGTACGTGGCCAAGGAGTAGCTAGGTCGCCTGTCCAACATCGCGTGTTTTCTCCGGTTTCGTCCTACTGCTTAAGACCCCTCTCCCTAACGCAAGCGAATTATCAAAATGAAAATTGAACCATATGATAGTCCCGAATGAACTAGTTTGTGTCGATTGGACGGTAACCTCTCTCTCTCTCTCTCTCTCTCTCTTTGGTGTCTGAGCGGGTAGAGTATAAACCGAAACGGTAGTGTTAGAATAAAAATAGTATGAAAAAAATATTATTACGCAGCTGAAATTCTCTTTAGAAATAAAAAAAAATGTTTTTGCTTGAATCAATAGTGCCCACATTTTAAAGAAAACTACCATTATCTTGTTTTAGGTGTTAATGGCTAAATCTTGTATTTCTTGTCAGAAAGTGAATAAATCGAAATAGTAACTTATTTATAACCTCTAAGTTCTATAGATGTATTGTCCAACTAATATATACATCCTCTTTACTAAGGAAGTGTATTCATTGTCTTTGATTCATTTTCTATACCACAACAAGGTTTAAAAAATCGCAGCTATATCAAGTGATGGTATCCCTACATAATTGGTAACTATATACATGGTAAGTACTGGTGTGCATTAATTGTATGCGTTATTTATGTTCTAGTAAAAATGGACATTGGCAAAGATAACCTGAACACATGTTTACTGGGAATATAGCATACAAAATGTAAGTTAATAATACCAAGACATGGTGTACGTCACTGCTACGCACATACTCCATCTAAAGTTTACCTGGCGCTAGAGGCAGGTGGTACGCGTTGGTTTCCTTGAAGATGCGTCTCAAATGATGTTTTGATAAGGAAACTAGACACCTCCTTTTTACGTCTGCGGGTCTATTTTCATCCCTAGTTCAGGCTAAATATACAGTTCCATAGTTTCGGCTGTCAATAATGCAGGATGATATGTGGGAAATGGTTTTGGCGTACCCATATTATATGAGGTATATTACAGTGAAACCCCTTCGATACATGTATTGATTAGAATTGATGCTTGGAAAATATGCCCTTTTTTTGTCGTGTTTGCTTTCATTTCGAATGACGCCTGTACCCCCCCCCCCCCGGATCTATTCATTTCGCTACATTGTCCATATCCCATTTTCTGAAAGGATTAAATTAAACTCAAAGTTTTAAAATGGATTCCAGCATTTGTTCGCCAGTTTGATAATCAATCTAAAGGAATCAGTTTACATCTTTGAGGCCACTTTAGACAAGCAGTAAGAGCACTGGACTATCGACTCGAACCCTGTGTAGCCCCGGCTCCTCCCTAGTATTGCACACGTGACAATAGAAAAATTAAACGCATGTTACTCACAAAATGACCGAAGTATTGTGTCGAAAAGATCTTAAACTTCATTCCATTCCTGTCAATTTGTCTCTTGAATTCGTGTTTGGTTTAAGTAATTTCATCGATGGCTGCCCTCGGACAGATCACCCATTAACCTATCTGGCCCCAGATTGTTTGATTCGTCTTCTTGGGCGTACTTTAATAAGAAATAATATAAATTACTTACGTGTTGTGACTTCGTATCCCATCGACTCTGATGTCAGAAGTTGTTGGGTTAAAGCGGTTTTACCAGTGTCCGATCCTCCAATTATGGCAACCTTAAAATAACTTATTGCTGATGAACTCGTGTTACTGTGGGTACCACTATGGTCCGATGTTTCACTGGGGCTACGAACCCTCTTATCGTTCTCTCCCCGAGCACTGCCCGTGGATCTCAAACTCTGGTTACTTTTTTTAAATGAGTCTCCCCGATTTATAACACCCTTTGACGTGGTTTTGAAAGATCGAACGCGACATAATTTGGATTCTTCTCCTCCAAAATCAATTCCACCTGGCACCTGAAGATGAACTTGGCAATTGGGCATACTGTTGGTTCTCTGTCGGGCCAAAGTAATTTCCAAATTCCTTGGTCTTGGACGATTCCTGAAAGAGCTGCATCTCGAGTGAGGCGCTGAAGCTATTTCCCTGTCTGGAGTAACGACTATTAAATTATTCGCTGGCATTTTTAAAGCCAGTAGGTGAAACACAAGGCTCCTAGTGTAAAATTTACAATGCTGTTCTCCTTCCCTTAACTATGTTTATAACCTATCAGTAGTAAGTTTTGATCGCAAACTACTTGAACCGACGCGTGCTGGCGCATTTATCGTCTGCCTATTGGAATCACGTGGTTTGGTTAATCACTACAGTTCCGTCTGTCTGTCTTGTTCAAGTGTATTGTGGTTCCACTAAGATGGTTAGCAGGCATAGTTGCCATTTCCTCCCATTGGTTTGTCTGGCCAATGTTCCCGATGACACAGTCGTAGGATGGGTAGGGGTTACATCAGATACTATTCTTATCATGGAACAATAGAACTATACATTGATGTAAGATATTACGCTGTGAGGCGGATTATGATTGAAACGTTACAGTATGTCATACACACCTATACACGTACCTGCCATATCTTGAAATCGTGTATTGTTTTAGTGTATTTCTCTTTTTCAAATGTTTTTTTGTTGTTTTTTTTTTATTTTGTATTATTTCCATTTTGTTTGGGGCGTATTGGCGCAATACAATCTTAGCTTAGTTTGGCTTTCCTCCCGTGGAAAGCTTTATCATGTACACTTCATGTTTACCAAACAAAAGTTGTATAATTAGATAAATATCTAGTTCTTATCTTCTGCACTTGCTCAACTTTTATTTACTTACATACGCACAATTAATTGTGGTTTCCTATAATTATACGTTTAGACCAAAGTTAGAAATTAGAAGGATTAAAACGAATATAAAATTTTCATATAGGAGAGAGAGAGAGAGAGAGAGGGGGGGGGGGGTGTTAACGTCCACTCGACACAAACTAGTTAATTTCGGGACTATCATATGGTTCAATTTTTAATTCAATAATTCGCGTGCGTATAGGGAGAGGGGTCTTTAGCAGTAGGAGGAAACCGGAGAAAACACTTGACACAAACTAGGTCATTTCGGGACTAACACATAGTTCAATATTATTTCAATAATTCTCTTGTGCGTAGGGGTCTTTAGCAGTGGGAGGAACCGGAGACCCTACGTCTTGTCACGTACAAGCGGGGAATCGAAACCACTCCGGTTGACTCAATGACAGGCCTTATGATACAGCACGCACGTGCTAACCATTTGGCCATCCAACCCCTCGTCTTTAGATGGTCTCCTTCAAACTTACTAAACGTTTTTTAGTAACGCTGTCCCAATTAAACATAGTTCCCGACTGTTTTGCTAGGGGTGGTGTATGTATGTTCTCCCATACTCTCCCAATTAAACATAATTAATGACGTTGTTGAAAGCAATGGTGTATGTATGTTTGACTACTGCCAAAATAGTTATTTTTTTATTAATCAGTTAACAGAAGACTGTAAAATCACACATCAATGTCGTAAACGGGGGTTAATTTCCCTTTTAATATAACTGTGTCTTATTCACTAATGATCATTCGGCTATCCAACCCCACTTTCCTATAGGAACGAGGCCTATCTATTTTCACTGTATATACTAGTACCTTCAAACAATGTCACCTTTGCGCAATTTGCTATAATTATCTTTGTCGTAGTGCCGTATAAAAGCAATCCGGCTCCTAGAAACAGAGAAGTTCTTGTGATAAACAAAACGATTTTATTCTCAGAAAACGATTGAGGAACAAACTAGGCTGATAAAAATGATATTCATTACCACATCCTTTGTGTAGTAATGTTCTGTATTTTTATTATGCTTAATTATACAAAAGTTTAGTCAAACTACATGTTTAAACCAACCACTAATTGTATTACTGAAAGTTTAGGAAAATGGCATGATTTTAAATTTATTGCGTATTTCATGTTCAAGACAATTTTAGGCAATATAGAAGTTAATATAACACGGTCAATTTATCCCATAATCTATATCATATTGTTGTTTCTTTCAAACATGTCCGCGGCATCTGGGGTAACTTGTTATAGTAATAAAAATTGAAAATTTACCTGACTACGTAGGCATTTTTAGAAAACGAGATATTTTTCTGGAGATATGTTTTTTTATTGCATGTTCTTCAAGATGCATTATGCCGAGGTCAAGAGACTGGAAACTGTGTATTCAATATATTTAATATGACTGAGAAACTAGCCATTGGGTGCAAACATTCTCAATGTAATTGCGCAGTCAAAACACGTCGAATCAACTATTAATTTCAAGATTGCTAAGATTGCACGGCCCTTCAAACCTGGTATACATTCTACCTAACAGCTTCAACTCTTTTAAAGTGGTTTATCAATCTAATTTAGTTCAATCTTTGCTGTACATGATTGCTGTATTAGTGAGGTGGAAATTTACTTCAGGGAGAGCTCATTGCGTGCAAGACAGAATTGTCGGTGAATGACCTGCTTGGACTATTTGCATCAAGAAACACACCAGAATGTAATGGAAATGTGTTAAACGATACTCTCGTCAGCTCTGAATCTTGGGCTAGGACATTTTGAGAATACATCTTTTTATATTTCATGGTTAGCGTGCATTGTTTATATCCCCAATGATTGAATGCGAGGTGCGCCTTTCCGCCCAAACCCATGCACGTCCCAAAGGCGTCACTGACAAATTAGCACGGAAATCCAACCTTACCAGTACGACCACTAACGGTACTTCCTCTTAGCACCCACCAGTTAGCACCTATTTGTGGTCGAACTTCGTTGACATTAACTACTTTTGCCGATACATCGATCTACTAACTGAATGGTTCGTTTAATAATTGATAAAAAAAATACATGTCTTATTGCCAACATACTATGACGTCATCACAGCATCATATCAAAAATCGAATTGAGTCAGTCAATGAATAGTTGTTCAAGGAACAAGCATGTAAAGTTCATGTTGACCGTTCGTTAATTGGCTCAGCCTAAGCTCCATCCCGTAACCATAACAGGATGAACAGCTGCCTCAAAAATGAAAGTAAAGTGTACCACACCATCCAGTTCATTTCCCGTCAACGTAAAGTTAACCAATCAACAATCTCAAAAATTTATGACGTACAGGAACGAGATTCCACATTCTTCGAATAAACAGATTCGGGCCTCTCTTACTGTGTAATATTATGTAACATGTTATTTAAATTCTGATTAACTTCTTGTCTTTAAATAGATCAACTGTAAGTATTACATCACTAAGCCATTTTAAAACCCCTTATGATGTTTAAGTGGAAAGCTACTTCAATGTTGATATTAAGTGTGATTACTTAGACAAAAAACTAATGCAAGTCTAATATCGAACATGATTCTTAAAAGTAATGCTAAAATCCATGTCTTAATCCGTTGTTTGTCAATGTAAACTGAAGATTACTATTGAAAAGGCGATAGTATTTATATTGTCTTTGTATTTATCTCACAAAAACATAAGCAGTATGTAATGAATGAAATATGTCTATTGTCAGTTCCGTACGTTATAATCGGTTCTGTCGAATTAGTCGCATTTAATACACGTAAATAGATATATTTGGAGACTTAATGGATATACACGTATTATTAAACTTTATTTTGGTGGGAACTTCACATCTGGCTTGTGGTATGTGGTTTCGGGATAGGGGCGCCTTCTCAGCCTCATGGTTTACTCCGGGTGCTCAGGTATCCTCCCACAGGAAATATCGATGCACGTGCGCTAAGTATAATAAAATAAGACACCTTGTCTGCGATATGACGATCGGTGGAAACGGGCGTTAAACTCTTAATAGATGGAGAACCATGTCATGTCTTGTAGCCGCTAATAGCCATTTTTATTTTTCACACAATACCGAAGTTTTCACGGTATAATCCACACTGAACTATAACATAAACGGTTGATAATCTACCGGCTTAGATTCAATCGAATCAAAAAGAGCTCCATCAGGAGATTGTGCCTAACATTTATAGGTGGCGCTGCTTACTGAATGCCGAGAAATGTCCAATCCATTTTATCGTTGTAAATGTTAAAGGGAAATGTGTCATTAATGGACGGCTATTCCCTTTAGAGATTCAAATTTTACTATATTGTAGTTTGTAAGGGTTGTAAACTTCCACAAAATCGCGATCAACAACTGTAACTAGGCGCAAGGAAGCCGGAAATGCGAATTGGTTTAATGGCGAGTATGTCTTTTATGAGTTATAATATCTTTGTGAGGTTTGCCAACAATTTGGTATTTGCTTTTATCTTGTGTTTTTAAAAATTATAAAGATTGATATTTTTAAAAAGTTCATCTTTCGTTTCATCTTGCCATTCTTCATCAAAAGTTGGGCATACGCTGCGAGGGATATTTTACCATTAAAGCGGCCCCACAGTCTATTCTTCCGATTTCTCTTGGCATACTCTCTGTCCTGCACCAACGACAATGCGCTACAATGTCCCGAGAAACCATCTCAACCAACCACGAGATCGACCCCGGGAATACCTTGTTAGTGAGCCAGCAACTTACTAGAAGACTAATATACACATCGAGGTCGGGGGATTTCCGGCGTGGTTTCCTATTGTCAGTGGTATAGGACGGGGAGCCTGACAAGGGCAGCTGTATAGTCCTTATGGAATGGTACGAAAACCCGAGGTCCCGTGTACACATTGGCGTGCATGTAAACGATCACTTGGCAGATGGAATTCGATATAAGAGTAGGCCGTAAGGCCGCTGTCCGGTCAAAATGTTCCTTATAGCACACTGCATGGCGTATACCCGTCTTTATTAGCCCAGCCGGAGCAGAACAGTAGGACGTTAAATCCCATTTAATATCATGTTATTTGCTAATGATACGTTCCCACTGTCGTGTGATGCATTACGATAGGATAATCCCTATTGAGTCCACGGCCTGGTACGTGCAGAAACGTTTCGGAAACGTTTCGATGCGATCAACACGATTGCCACGACTGACCTCAATACATGATAAAACCTGATAGGATCACAACGAATTCTCCACACGATTAAAACCATGATTTGAATCGTAGCGCGATCGTAATAGAGGGAACCTAGCATAATGTACAGACTTACATCATGCGATCCCGAGTTACATACACGGTTAAAAATGGTTGTAATTAAAAACTATAAGCAGTGTTAATTAAGTGTAAACTTTACACCACAGCTAGCATTTTTCAAGTGTAATACCTTTCCAAGGGTAACCTACTAAAAGAACTACACCTAACAAGTGTAACCGATATTCATGACTACTGAACACCCGAATAGGTGTAATTGTGGGGTGTTCTGGATACGCTACACCACTACAAGTGTTATACTGCATTTACACCAAAGGATGTAACTATTATTGGGGAATAAATCATAGAACAGCGTTAATTTTACAGCGTTTATTGGGTTGCAAAAGTGTAATCGATATTCATGAGTACTGAACACCAGGA